TCGCGGCAGCTTCAGTGAGCCAGCCCTGCACGATCCGCTCTGCACGGTGTGATTGGAAGGAACAGGAAACGGAAAACACAAAGGGGGCCATCCAGATGGTCAGTGAGGATACAACAAGGTTTTCAACACCGCTAGTCAGCAGGGAAATGCATGTTTAAACCTCAGAAAGACTCCACTACACACCCACCAGAGTGGCTAAAATTAAAGACAGCAGCGTTGTGTGCTGGAGAAGGGGTGATGCCAGGGGGCTCACATGCCATGGTGCCCAGCCAGAGTGCACAGCCCCCTTAGAACATGGGTGACGTGTACTGGAGCTCAGCACACATGCACCACGACAGCCATGTCCCTCCCCCTGGGTCTGTGCCTCAGAGGCAGGCACAGCCACGTGCATGATTTGATCCATAACGTCCCGGGTTCATGCCATGGAATGCCACATGGAAGAAAGTTACAAATGAGTGCCGCTTGCGACAACACAGATGGACGCCAGACAGAGCCCATCCCGAGAACCTGGGTACCAGAGCTCCCAGTGTGACTGTTCCAGTGTGGGCCTTGGACCCAGTGACCCTTGGGCGGGGTTCACCTGCGTGGTTTCCACCGAGAGGACCCTGTAGGGCCGGGGTCTGTGTGTAGCCTGACTCGGGTACTCGGTGCTGGAGTGTGGAAGCATAGAGGGCTTGTTGAGCTGCACAGGGTATATCTGCTACGACACTGTGTGGAAACTGTACAGTCACAAGTTTTTAAAAAGTGCCTGCCAGCTGGGTGCAGTGACTTACGCCTATAATCCCAGCACTTTGGGAGGCCGAGATGGGCAGATCACCTAAGGTCAGGAGTTCAAGACCAGCCTGGCCAACATAGTGAAATCCCGTCTCTACTAAAAATACAAAAATGAGCCGGGCGTGGTGGCAGTTTGTAATCCCAGCTACTTGGGAGGTCTCTGAGGCAGGAGAATCGCTTGAACCTGGGAGGCGGAGGTTGCAGTGCCAGCCTGGGTGACAGAGCGAGACTCTGTCTCAAAAAATAATAGTAATAAAAGAGTCCGCCTCTCAGTGCACCAGCTGAGTCCAGCCAGCAGTACAAAAGCCACTGGGACATCACAACTGAAGGTTCAACAAGGGAAATGGCAGAATGAGGGGGAGGTGGGCGTGTCCCGCCAGACATTGGGGTCCAGCCCTAGAACCACGGATGTGACCCCACGCACTGGAGTGGCCTCTACGGCCACCATCGCACTTGGGATCTTGGACGGGAGATGATGGTGGGTAATCGTCTGGGGC